ACCTAACCTCTACTACCTGCCCCCAACACTCTACCTTACTACCTCCTGCCTGCCCCAACACCTGTGTAGCCACGAGTGTTCCTGCCGCCAGTACTAAACACACATCATGATATAAGTGTGAAGTATGAAGTGTTATATCTACTGAACACTTTACGGTCAGTCTATGATAACTTCTCCACCTGGTTGTGTCCTGCCTACTGTGACGGTGATAACGGAGGAATTGATCACAGTCCTTCACTAAACGTAACGTGGGAACATGTCGAGTATAACAAACTTCTCTATCAGTGCTGAGTGTCTCCATTAACACAAGTGATTCAATTTCATGATGAAGAGGTTCCGGATCTATCAATTAATATTATTGCACATCTGGGAACCTTTTGCTGATGTAATGAACTTATTAATAACTTTGATGTGACTGATTTATGTGTGTAACGCAGGATAGTGTGAGATAACTAGTAATATGCAGAGTTGACGTGACTGTGTGTGTGTGTGTGTGTGGATCAGTGTCGGGGTGTTATAATATTGAAGCTCGGAGTGACAGTAGTGCCCGGGAGAGGTTCAGCTTCAGGAGACTTGAGTCACACCATCAATCAACAAACCTGACACACACAGTTTAAGACTCAGGTTGGCACTGTGGGTCAGGTCGTTTAGTGACATCTGGCGAGATATTATAAAACTAAGAGGAAATATTCGTCTTGGTAAACAAATTGACGACCATTATAACTGAGAACCTATTAGTGGGACCTATTGGCACAGTCGCCCATTTAACCTAAAGGTGTCAGTACTACATCATGGTGTGTAGAGTACAGTTCTTTATATCTCAATCTCACTATATCTCTCTATCTATCTCACTTTCTCTCTCTCTTAAACGTTCTCTCTCTCTCTCTCTCTCTCTCTCTCTCTCTCTCTCTCTCTTGACAGCCACGGTTGCCCTCACACCCCAAGCACCGTGAAAGCTCCTTTGCGAGGCATTTGACAGCTGCCATCACTCCTACCATCGAGTCGCTACCCTGTTTTTTCTCCTCAGTGAAACCCCCATTTAACGGATAATATGGAGAGAGAAAGTCCGTTATATGGAGGTTTCACATTTAACGGACCAGCAGGATGTTGTTGCGGAAGATCCTAGCATACAGTGTGAGAGGTGAGGCTCAATATCACGATGCTTCATTGACGAATTATTATTTTTTTTATTCCCAGCCGAGACAAAGACCTAATTGATTTTTATTCACCTCCGTTGTGACCTGGTTGTTGAGGGGGAAGGATAGGAGGAAAAGGAATAGGAGAGGGAGGGAATGAAGTAAGGGGAAAGGGAAGGGGGGAAAGAAGGGGAGACGGAGAGGAGGGGGAGGCAGGGAAGGGGAGGATGGGAGACGGGAAGGGAAGGAGAGAGAGGGGGAAGATTATGTTATGTTATGTTATGCAATGGTTAGGTTAGGTTAGGCTACATGAGGTCAGCTTAGGTTATGTTATGTTTGGTTAGATTAGGTCAGCTTAGGTTAGGTAAGGTTAGATTAGCGTTATAGTGGTTAATCATCAGCTGGGGTGCCTAATTTACAGGTGATTATTGCACAACTCATAAACTACCTCACACACACAACTCATAAACTACCACACACACACAACTCATAAACTACCTCACACACACAACTCATAAACTACCTCACACACACAACTCATAAACTACCTCACACACACAACTCATAAACTACCTCACACACACAACTCATAAACTACCTCCACACACACACAACTCATAAACTACCTCACACACACCTCACCACTACCTCACACACACAACTCATAAACTACCTCACACACACAACTCATAAACTACCACACACACACAACTCATAAACTACCTCACACACACAACTCATAAACTACCTCACACACACAACTCATAAACTACCTCACACACACAACCCATAAACTACCTCACACACACAACTCATAAAATGTGTGTAATATTTGCCTACAAAATTTTCATACGATTTTTTTTATAAATTGAAATCGGACAAAAAGTGAATTTGTGCGTCAGTGTTTCAATGTGTTTATTGGGCTTAGTACCCGAGGTCTGTCTGTCTGCCTGTCTGTCTGTCTGTCTATCTGTCTGTCTGTCTGTCTGTCTGTCTGTCTGTCTGTCTATCTATCTCTATCTGTTTGACTGTTTTTCAATCTATGGATCCATCTCTATATTTCTGTTATCCATCCATCCATCCATCCATCCATCTATCCATCCATCCATCCATCCATACTTGTAAATAAAGAATAAATCATAAAATAACGATAAGTAAGGAATAAATCATAATAAATCTTAAATAATGAATAACTCGTAATGTTATTCATAGTTGAGAGGGACAGCCAATGGCAGGGCTGGCAGAGGGTGTGACGTCATCATGATGGCGGCCGGGGAGGTGTGGGGAGAGACCATTAAAGGTGAGGTGTTGGATCATCTCACTCCTCACTTTACTCACCTCACGACCTGTGCCCCTTAACTGTCTACCTGTGCCCCTTAACTGTCTACCTGTGCCCCTTAACTGTCTACCTGTGCCCCTAAACTGTCTACCGGCCCCTGTCTGTGTTGTTTGTTACCTGTGTCCATTAACTGTCTACCTGTGCCTTAACTGTCTACCTGTGCCCTTAACTGTCTACCTGTGCCCTTAACTGTCTACCTGTGCCCTAACTGTCTACCTGTGTCCTTAACTGTCTACCTGTGCCTAACTGTCTACCTGTGTCCCTTAACTGTCTACCTGTGCCCTTAACTGTCTACCTGTGTCCATTAACTGTCTGTCCTTAACTGCCAACCTGTGTCCATTAACTGTCTACCTGTGCCCTTAACTGTCTACCTGTGCCCTTAACTGTCTACCTGTGCCCTTAACTGTCTACCTGTGCTTTGTCTACCTGGTCCCTTAACTGTCTACCTGTGCCCTTAACTGTCTACCTGTGTCCATTAACTGTCTACCTGTGCCCTTAACTGCCAACCTGTGTCCATTAACTGTCTACCTGTGCCTAACTGTCTACCTGTGCCCTTAACTGTCTACCTGTGCCCTTAACTGTCTACCTGTGCCTAACTGTCTACCTGTGTCCTTAACTGTCTACCTGTGCCCTTAACTGTCTACCTGTGTCCATTAACTGTCTACCTGTGCCCTTAACTGTCTACCTGTGCCTTAACTGTCACCTGTGCCTAACTGTCTACCTGTGCCCCTTAACTGTCTACCTGTGCCCCTTAACCACTACTACTACCGATAATGGCATTTAACTGTTTAATTCTAAAAACAAAACAAAAAACGAGTTGCAGTCAAGCTTCAACTCGACTCTCATTGGTCCATGAATTAACCAATCAGACTCCGTGGCTCCTATAATAGATACCTGTTGCCTATATACACGACACGACAAAGGGGAACCAGCACGAACGTTCCACATAAAGATTACAAACAAACAAACAAATTCTCTTTTTTTAAGCAATTTGACGTCGTGTTGAATCGTTTTATGGACAGTATAAATTTATGAAACCACCCCTTGTACACTTCAGTCCTCTACAGAAACAAAAGACTATCTCATTTCTTTATATACAGGGAGGTGCATAAGTGTCTTTACTGAAGGTACATTTTCTGTACATTAGTACAGGGGAGACTTGTCTATATATTGTCTGGGTAATATTTTTTTTTAGTGTGGAGTGTTTTGTTGACGTCTTTCTGTGTCCACCTGGATTACAACAGGCGGTGTGGGGGAAAGAAGGAGGAGGTGGGGGAAATGGAGGGTGTAGGAGGAGGACAGAGAGGAAGATGAGTAGGAGGAGGAAGAGGAGTGGAGGAAGAGGGGTAGGGGAGGGAGGGAGGAAGGATTATTCTGCCCTAAATTGAGAGGTCCAAGTTATGACAGAGTGTGGTGATCCTGGCAAAGCTTCGGCTGATGAGGAAGCTAAGTCCTTTCGTTATAAACTTTGCTCGAACTTGGAACCGAACCGAGTTTTTCATAGTTAAGTGATGGGGTAGGGTAGGGTAGGGGCAGGGTAGGGCAAAGTAGGGCAGGGAGCAGGGTAGGGGTAGGGCAGGGGTAGGGCAGGGGCAGGGTAAGGAGTAGGGTAGGGTGGGGCAGGGTAGGGTGGGGCAGGGCAGGGCAGGGGTAGGGGTGGGGTAGGGGGGCAGGGGGGGGGGGGGGGTGGGTGTAGGGTAGGGTAGGGCAGGGCAGGGCAGAGGGGTAGGGTGGGGTAGGGTGGGGCAGGGTGGGCAAAGTAGGGCAGGGCAGGGTAGGGTGAGGGAGGGTAGAGACAGGGGCAGGTGGGGGTGGGGTAGGGTAGGGGGGGCAGGGAGGGAGGGTAGGGTAGGGTGGTGGGCAGGGAGGGCAGGGGTGGGGTGGGTGGGGTGGGGGGGTGGGAGGGGGAGGGGTGGGTAGGGTAGGGTAGGGCAGGGCAGGGCAGGGGTAGGGTAGGGAGGGCAGGGTGAGGGTGGGAGGTAGGGCAGGGGTGGGGAGGCAAAGTGGGGCAGGGCAGGGCAGGGTGGGGTAGGGTAGGGTGAGGAGTGGGAGTAGGGAGGGTAGGGTGGGGCAGGGCAGGGCAGGGGGTAGGGTAGGGTGGGTGGAGCAGGGCAGGGCAGGGAGGGTGGGGAGAGGAGGAGTAGGAGTAGGAGTAGGAGTAGGGCAGGGTGGGGCAAAATGGGGCAGAGACAGGGCAGGGAGGGTGGGTAGGGAGGGTGGGCAGGGCAGGGTAGGGTAAAGTAGGGCAGGGCAGGGTGGGGTGGGGCAGGGTAGGGGTAGGGTGGGGTAGGGCAGGGCAGGGTGGGGTAGGGTAGAGGGCAGGGAGTAGGGTAGGGTAAAGTAGGGCAGGGCAGGGCAGGGCAGGGCAGGGATAGGGTAGGGTAGGGTGGGGTATCAGCCTCTCCTGGCCTGGCTGATAGAATCTTTCCAATATTAGGGAAGTTTAATGAGGTCACTTTACCTTTTTTTGTTTACATCTGTATATAAAAAAATCTTAATGTTTTTGTTTTCTTGTTTCTTTACAGGATGGTTGGTGGCGCTATGGGCGTGATAGGGGGCGTGGTAGCCGGAGGAGGAGGGAGAGCAGGAAGAAGAGGAAGAGGAGGAGGAGGAGGAGGAGGAGGTGCTGGGGACATAGGAACAAGACGACTACTTCTCCTGGTCTTCATTCTTTTGTCCTCCTGCTGGTGATTATCTAGACTGTGTCACCTGTAGTTGTGTTCCTTAAGAGATCCTACTGTGTTCCTTAAGAATCTTCTGTGTTCCTTAAGAGATCCTACTGTGTTCCTTAAGAGATCCTACTGTGTTCCTTAAGAGATCCTACTGTGTTCCTTAAGAGATCCTACTGTGTTCCTTAAGAGATCCTACTGTGTTCATAGAGATCTACTGTGTTCCTAAGAATCCTACTGTGTTCTTAAGAGATCCTAATGTGTTTCTTAAGAATCCTACTGTGTTCCTTAAGAGATCCTACTGTGTTCCTTAAGAGATCCTGTGTTCCTAAGAGATCCTACTGTGTTCCTTAAGAGATCCTACTGTGTTCCTAGAGATCCTAATGTGTTTCTTAAGAGATCCTACTGTGTTCCTTAAGAGATCCTACTGTGTGTTCCTTAAGAATCCTACTGTGTTCCTTAAGAATCCTACTGTGTTCCTTAAGAGATCCTACTGTGTTCCTTAAGAGATCCTCTGTGTTCCTTAAAGTCCTACTGTGTTCCTTAAGAATCCTACTGTGTTCCTTAAGAGATCCGTCTATGTTCCTTAAGAGATCCTTCTGTGTTCTTAAGAGATCCTTCTTGTTCCTTAAGAGATCCTTCTGTGTTCCTCAAGAGATCCTACTGTGTTCCTTAAGAGATCCTACTGTGTTCTTAAATAATATCCTTCTCGGAGTTCTTTGAAATTCTCAATGAATCTAAACTGACCTACATGATCTAATCTAACCCAGAGAGAGAGAGAGCCTACCTCTCTCGTCATTCATACAGCGACTCATCAATTCTTTTATTTCAGGTACTACTGTGTCCCTGGAAGGTATATATATATGTAGAGTACAGGTATATATAGAGTACAGGTATATATAGAGTACAGGTATATATATACAGTACAGGTATATATTCAGTGCAGGTATATTCAATTCACCTTTACTACCATGACTATTCTCCTATACAGAGTCAGTACTAATATATCCATCTTGATAGTAGTCCACTTGTTTACTATCCTCAGACTGGCCCCCTAAAATATCCCCCCCTAACTACTCCCTGCTACTATTACTTCTGGTGCTATCCATGAACCGTAGCGACACTTCCCAGCGACTATCACAGACTACTTAACTATTCCACAACCCAACTTAATACAAACTACTAACCTAATGCCCAAAACTTTGACTAAAATCGTGATCAAATGCCCTAAATCGGTGGTCAAATGATCTTATCTTTATATTATCTGTTGCTAGAGTCAGGAAGAGGGTGATGACATGGCAACAGGTGCTCAGGGTGATGACGTCATTGGAGTACCGTAAATAAACACCATGGCAACAGGTGTTCAGGGTGATGACGTCATTGGAGTACCGTAAATAAACACCATGGCAACAGGTGTTCAGGGTGATGACGTCATTGGAGTACCGTAAATAAACACCATGGCAACAGGTGTTCAGGTGATTAAATGAACACCATGGCCAGGTGTTCGGTGATGACGTCATTGGTACCATAAATGAACCTGGCAGCAGGTGTTCAGGGTGATGACGTCATTGGGTACCATAAATGAACACCATGGCAACAGGTGTTCAGGGTGATGACGTCATTGGAATACCATAAATAAACACCATGGCAACAGGTGTTCAGGGTGATGACGTCATTGGGTACCGTAAATAAACACCATGAAGGTGTTCGGTGATGAGTCATTGGGTACATAAACACCATGGCAACAGGTGTTCAGGTGTCTTATAATTAATTAATCTCATTTACATATTAAAGGGCTAAATAATCCAGTTTTTATGTTACCATTGATTGTCTTTCTCTTCTTCCCTCTTTCCGCATCTCCCTCCCTCATCCTCTTTCCTTTTCTTCCTCCTTTCCCCATCTTTCCTACCCTCCTTCCTTCATTTTCTCCCCTCCCCCTCCCCTTTTTCCTTCCTTTCTTCCTCCCACGTGACCTCAATCTTCTCTCTGTTCCTCCTTCCTTCCTTCCCCCTCTCCTTCCCCCCCCCTCTCCTTCTTCCCCACCTCCTCCTTCCTCCCCCCACCTCTCCTTCTTCCCCACCTCTCCTTCCTCCCCCACCTCTCCTTCCTCCCCCCACCTCTCCTTCCTCCCCCACCTCTCCTTCTTCCCCCCCACCTCTCCTTCCTCCCCCCACCTCTCGTTCCTCCCCCACCTCTCCTTCCTCCCCCCACCTCTCCTTCTTCCCCCCACCTCTCCTTCCTCCCCCCACCTCCTTCTTCCCCCACCTCTCCTTCCTCCCCCACCTCTCCTTCCTCCCCCACCTCTCCTTCTTCCCCCACCTCTCCTTCCTCCCCCCACCTCTTCCTCCCCCACCTCTCCTTCTCCCCCCCACCTCTCCTTCTTCCCACCTCTCCTTCCTCCCCCACCTCCTCCTTCCCCCTCTCCTTCCCCCCACCTCTCCTTCCTCCCCCCCACCTCTCCTTCTTCCCCACCTCTCCTTCCTCCCCCCCCACCTCCTTCCTCCCCCCCACCTCTCCTTCCTCCCCCACCTCTCCTTCTTCCCCACCTCTCCTTCCTCCCCCACCTCCTCTTCCTCCCCCACCTCTCCTTCCTCCCCCCCACCTCTCGTTCCTCCCCCCACCTCCTTCCTCCCCCACCTCCTTCTTCCCCACCTCTCCTTCTTCCCCCCACCTCTCCTTCTTCCCCCCACCTCTCCTTCCTCCCCCCCACCTCTCCTTCCTCCCCCCCCACCTCCTCCTTCCTCCCCCCCACCTCTCCTTCCTCCCCACCTCCTCCTTCTTCCCCCCTCCTTCCTCCCCCACCTCTCCTTCCTCCCCCCCACCCCTCTCCTTCCTCCCCACCTCCTCCTTCCTCCCCCCCACCTCTCCTTCCTCCCCCACCCTCTCCTTCCTCCCCCCACCTCTCCTTCCTCCCCCCACCTCTCCTTCCTCCCCCCACCTCTCCTTCTTCCCCACCCCTCTCCTTCTTCCCCCCACCCCTCTCCTTCTTCCCCCCCACCTCTCCTTCCTCCCCCACCCTCTCCTTCCTCCCCCACCTCTCCTTCCCTCCCCACCTCCTCCTTCTTCCCCCACCTCTCCTTCTTCCCCACCTCTCCTTCCTCCCCACCTCCTCCTTCCCTCCCCCCCCCACCTCTCCTTCCTCCCCCACCTCTCCTTCCCTCCCCCCACCCTCCTCCTTCCTCCCCCACCTCTCCTTCCTCCCCCCCACCTCTCCTTCCTCCCCACCTCTCCTTCCTCCCCCCACCTCTCCTTCCTCCCCCACCTCCTCCTTCCTCCCCCCCCACCTCTCTTCCTCCCCCCACCTCTCCTTCCTCCCCCACCTCTCCTTCCTCCCCCACCTCTCCTTCCTCCCCCACCTCTCCTTCCCTCCCCCCCCCACCTCTCCTTCCTCCCCACACCTCTCCTTCCTTCCCCACCTCTCCTTCCTCCCCCACCTCTCCTTCCTCCCCCCCACCTCTCCTTCCTCCCCCCACCTCTCCTTCCTCCCCCCACCTCTCCTTCCCTCCCCCACCTCTCCTTCCTCCCCCACCTCTCCTTCTTCCCCCACCTCTCCTTCTTCCCCACCTCTCCTTCCTCCCCCACCTCTCCTTCCTTCCCCCCACCTCTCCTTCCTCCCCCCCACCTCCTTCCTTCCCCCCCTCCCCTACAACCCTCTCCTCGTCTTCAGGTAATTGTCTTCACCCCAAAACACTCACGTTCTCCTTTCCTCTGACGACTCCCTCTCACCATATAATTTTACCTTTATAATACGGAGTTAAGCGTTGTAATATTGGACGGTGGGTTAGGTTGAGGATAGGTAGGTTAGGTTAGGTTAGGTTAAGTTAAGTATTCACCAAGTTGTCTGCGTTCAACATCACAACGCCTTGCTCTACTGGTGTATTTGCCCCCCCCCACCCACACCGCCCACACCGCCCTGTTCGCTGTATAAGGAATCCAATACACTCGTTGCTTTGCTCATGCCGTCTGTATGTCTGTGTATACCTCTAACTCTCCTAAATATACACCTGTGAACATAATAATAAGGCCATCAATAATATAATAAGGCTTCTGGGTTTAATTTTTGCATGTTTGTTTAGAAGAAAAATAATAAAATAAAATTAAAAGAACCAATTGGTAGTTTTTTGGTGTTTATTTGGTAAAGCTTATTTAAGTGTATGGTTATTTGTTTGTTTGTTTGTTTGTTTTTGTTTGTTTTTGTTTTTCTTGCTTTTTTTTTTTGAATGGTACCCCCAAAAAATTGATATTTCCAAGAAATTTCATCAAGGTGTTTTTAATGAATCTTAAAAAAATCGATGGAGAGTGTTTATCTATTTACCTCAATAGTTACCTTTGATTTTTCCAAGATATTACCTACCTTAATCTAGCCATTCTACCCTAGCCTTCCTATCTCTCCTACCCTAACCTTCCTATCTCTCCTACCCTAGCCTTCCTTACCCTTCACCTCCCTAGACCAACTTACCCTAATCTTTCATTCTTCTTTTCTTCCTAATTTACCTTTACCTTCCCTTACATATTCTCTAATCCTTCCTGGTCTCTCTGTCTTCTTGTGTGTGTGTGTGTATTTACTTGTTCTTTTCTCTCTCTCTCTCTCTCTCTCTCTCTCTCTCTCTCTCTCTCTCTCTCTCTCTCTCTCTCTCTCTCTCTCTCTCCCCCTCTCTCTCTCTCTCTCTCTCTCTCTCTCTCTCTCTCTCTCTCTCTCTCTATCTCTCTCTCTCACACACTCTAGTGTTACCAATCTGTCCTCCCTATAACCAATCTCTCTCTCAATAACTAATCTCTTAATCTTTCTCCCCCCAATCTACAATATTCCTATTCACTTCTACATCGATTATATAGAAACAATAATAATTCAAACTAAACTCTGACCTCAGTCTATCACTATAGTGAATACATTTTATACACGTTAACCAGCTCCTCGCTATACCCCATGGAGTCAACATTTATAACAAACAAAAATATTAATTTGACTCGAATATTGCGTCTAACTCTGAATATAATAATAATAATAATAATAATAATAATAACAATAACAATAATAACGAGAGAACAACAACGAAAACAACAACAACAAGGACCATACTACTACCACTAATAATAATAACAATTATAATAATAATAATAGTAAAGTCATTGACTCGAGGTCTTAAAGATATCGTACTACTGGTCCTCAAGTTATCAACATTGTGCTTGAGAGGTTAAACACTGCTCACTATCCCTTTCAGTCATCAGAAAGATGCTTCAATGAAACTACAGGTAAACAGTGTACAGTAGTTCTCTCAGTGTAGCTTCATTAGTCCCGGATGTTTCAGTGTAAGGCTGACTGTAACACACACAGGGACGCCCCCGTGAAGAGTTAAGGACACTTGTCCCCGCGCCGTGTATTAACAAAAAAGTCTTTAAGTTCATTTAAAGTTGTTATAGTGTATAGTGAGGCGCAACACCTTTGGAAATATCGGAGTTTGTTGTTATTGTGTTCTTGTATCTAGCTGCCTCCATGGCCCGGGTCTCTGAGGCCCTCACTGAGTCTCTACAGTAGACAACAACTCTTATGGTCTATCTTTACAGCTGAACATGTGCGCTGAAGACAATTATTTAATTAATGAAGTGTGTAAACAATTGTCTTCACTGATTGTCTGCATTATGTCTCTCCTCTTTAGTGAGAGACGAGTGAAGCTCTCAACATGTGTGGCTGTGTTGTAGTGAGCAGTAGACTGAGGAGTTATTACTTGACCTTAGATGAGAGAACTCCGCCCAGGTGTGGCGGTGAGCGGGGGTCCCGAAGGGAACTCCGGGGTTGTCTCTGTGTTAGTAACAAAGTGTTTCCTCTCTACAGCGGCCTGGCCGTAGGGAGCGATGGAAGGTAAGAGACTTTAACCCACCAGCCTGCCTGCCTGCCTGCCTGCCTGCCTGCCTGCCTCTCTACTGCTTGACCACAGATAACACAGCCTGACCTACTGCTTGACCCCCAGCAGGTAGAAGAACATCTTGTGTCTCTCAATATATTAGAGGAGATGTTATAGTGTACAGTACCAGAGCATGTTAGTGATGGCCTCTTTATTAACACCGTTTATAGTTTATTACTTCTCGTGGTCGTGTCAACAGTTGACAGCCTCTTAACAGTGAATCATTATTGTCATTATTTAGTCTACAGTTGAGAACGTTCTCATACACACACGTCATGGTCTTAAAATATAATTTACTTGGCTGCTTCTTGCTAAATAGCATCTCTGCCACACACACACTTGGTGACCATCAACTCATAAGTTGGGACAGTTGTTAAGGTCTTAGTTCAGCATTAATGCCTCATCTATTAGTCGTCTTGGCAAATATTTTTTCTCCTCCCTGACATGATGATGATCAGTGATGTAAATAATCTCTACGAAAATCTTTTACTCAACTCCAAGTCCCTTGTGTGATCCGACACACACACACACACACACACACACACACACACACACACACACACACACACACACACACACACACACACACACCTCTCGGGTTACTCGTAAACTACAGAAAATTATCCTCAGTTCAGCACGTAAGATAATATCCTGTAACATCAACAGTTGGTTACAGTCTTTAACTAACACAAACTTACAGAACCAAAGTCATTTCGTCTTGGGTTTGTATAAGTACAATACAGTCTTGTGTCTGGTACAGCTTGTATCAGTCAACACTCCTTAATAACATGAATGTTACTTGACCACTACTGACCAGCCATAGAACCTGTGTCTCACGCTCAGTCACTGCTATTGCATCTGGGTCTGTATATGTAAGATAGACCATTATTGTCCTCAGTCCAGCATGTGTGTGTGTGTGTGTGTGTGTGTGTGTGTGTGTGTGTGTCCTCGGCATGTTGATGCATGGGTCAGGTGTCTCGTGTCGTGGACCGTTAATTGATGTTCACTGTTTTTTCATCAATGTACCAATTTTTTTTTGCTTGATTATAAATGTTTTTTTTTAAATAAATGTTCGATGTTTTATGGGGTTTTGCTAAATGTCTGATATATTTTTCCCTGACTCCCTTTTTTCCCATAAATATCCGAATTTTTCGTTATTTTTCTGTCTGTACTTCTCAATTATTCCCACATTCATATCTCTCAACTTTTATCACCTATTGCCCGTGTCACTAATTCATACACACTACAGAGTGACCTTCCCCTCTCTTATATCTTTTCTTATCATGTAAATAATCAAAACAAAATTATAATAAAAATAAAATCTTCGTTTTAGCTTTCCAGAAATCTGTTAATCTTAGTGAAAGTAAAATAAGCGAAGAGAGAGTATAGAAACGTGACTAACGAAACAGATAGCGAAAGTATCTTATTTTCTTAACATATTAGCGAGTTAGCGAAGCATGTTAGACCTATAGAAATACAATATATCTTTATTAACCTAGTGCATTTTATTACGGCAGTTTAATCTCTTTTATATCTGCTACAAGTATGTCCTTATTACTTATTAATGTTGATATATATGGTTATGTCTGCAAGATTAATATATATATACTTATAACAATGGTTCAGGTTATTGCAGTCAATTGTAGCCCCAAGACTGTTGTTCCATTCTTAGACTCCATTTGCATTTTCATCTATTTTTCTTTTTTTAATTTATTGCTTCTTCCTTATTGTTTAGTTTTTGAGCATTCTCTTATTCATAATACATCAGTTTTCTCTATTTCTCATTCATTGTTTACTAATTCTTTCTTCTTGTTCATAGGTTATCATCTGTCTATTCATTAATATTTTATTGAGTCGTTTCTCTTATTCAGTAATCATCAATTCTCTCTTCTTATATTCATATTTTATCATCTATTTCTTCTCACCCCTATCGCTTCTCTCTCTCTCTTTACCCCTATTCTCTCTCTGTCTCTCTCTCTCTCCCAGGTCACCAAGAGCTTATAGAGACTCCCAACTTTAACCTGTTGTGTCATCCAGGTACAGCTCCCCGCCCAGAACCTCCAGCTATCACCTCCCATAACCCAGGCCTTATCCTTCACTTAACCAGCCACTCTACGTGTGTATATCCTTGTGTTCCCGCCTCTTCCTTCCTCCTTCTACTGGTCTTCCTTCTTCTCTTTCTGATTTCTTCTCCTCCTGCTTCTCTTCCTCCTCTTGCTGCTGCTGCTGCTTTCTCCTACGTCTTCTCTTCCTTCTCCTGTTTCTCTTCCTCGTCCTGCTTCTCCCCCCCTCTTTTTACTACTTCTTCTCTTTCTCCTCTTCTTCTACTCTTGCCTATCTTCCTTCTGCTTCTCTTCCTACTTATATTCTTCCTACTTTTCTCGTCTTCCTTTTCCTGCTTATCTTCCTCCTCTTGCTTCTCCTCCTCCTGCTTTCTGTATAACTTTCTCTATCACATTTTTTCACCTATTATCGCTGTCTATATTTCCGGGTTACTAAATCACCGCTGATGGCTGACTTCCTCCACATCCCATTCATGATAACAACTCTAACCTTGTTCATTATTCACCTCATCTCTAACCTTAATGAATAAAATGAACAACAATGTATAAGATTAATCACTAAGTGGTAAGACGAGTACCTAATCTGGTACTTAACACAGATGTCGCCTATAGTAACTTATGTTTTAAGTAACTTTGAGTTTAAGTAAGTTAGGTGATGTGGGTTAGTCCCCTTCTCTTGTTTACAATGATGGGCTAACAGGCCTGTCCCCAGGATATGAGGCAGCCCCTAGCCTCCAGCATCTAGGTAGTCCCCAGACCCCAGCATTAAGGCAACCCCAAGGCCCTAGCATTAATGCAGCTCCCAGTATTCAGCCACCAGCATTACGGCAGCCTCCAGCCCCTAGCATTAAGGTAGCTCCCAGCCCCTAGCATTGAGGCAGTCCCAGCCCTCAGCCCCAAGCCCCAAGCACCTAGACAGCCCCATACAGGTACTTACGACACTATCTCTCCCACAGCGAGATCTCATCAGCCAACTTCCGGGCTCGAGAGAAACAAATTATCGATGAGATCATTGGTCCGGCGAACTATGACAAGCGTATCCGGCCAGCCGGCGCCAACGACACCGGTAAGTGACACTTTCCCGGTATATAACGAATGACACTTTTCCGGTATGTTCCCGGTATGATATGAAGGTTATATCTCAATGAGTTCTCTCAGCACTAGTTATGTATCTCTCTCTCTCTCTCTCTCTCTCTCTCTCTCTCTCTCTCTCTCTCTCTCTCTCTCTACCTCTCTTTCCATTATGTCTCTTTTCTTCTCCCTATTTAAACTATTTTTTCCCTCCCTCTCTCTCACTCTCTCTACTGCATCTCTCTCTCTCTCACACTTTCTCTCCATTCCTGTCTCCTCGTCTATCTTCATCACGTCTCTATTACCCATCATTCTCCCCCTCCCTTCCAATTACCTCTTCTCCTATTCATTATTTTCCTGCACTCTCTCACACTCTCTCCACTGCGTTTATTTACTAGTATACTGAGAGAGAGAGAGAGAGAGAGAGAGGAGGGGTATATAGAAAGAGGGAGCTGAGGAAGGGAAGTGAAGAAGGGAGGGAGAGAGGAATACAGGGAAAGAGGAAGTGAGGTAAAGTAGGGAGAGAGAGAGGGAGGGAAGGAGGGAAGGCGGTAATCTTCAAATAAACTATCAAAATCTTCCAGGTACTTTTTACGTTTGACTGAGTTTACAAATGGAAGTGACATCTTGTATTGACAGCAGCAGTGGAAGGAAGGTTTGTTGTCACAAAGTTCCCCCTGGCTGAATTGAGGGCTTGAGAAGGGGGCGTTGGCTTAAGGGGTGGCGTTGGCTTAGGGGTGGGCATGTTGGCTTAGGGATGGGGTACGTTAGCTTAGGGGTGGGTACGTTGCTTAGTGGGCATGTTGGGGGGTGGGCATGTTGGTTTAAGGGTGGGTACGTTGGCTTAGGGGTGGGGGCTTAGGGGTACGTTGGCTTAGGGTGGGTACGTTGGCTTAGGGGTGGGTACGTTGGCTTAGGGGGTGGGTACGTTGGGCTTAAAGGTGGGCATGTTGGCATTAGGGGTGGGTACGTTGGCTTAGGGGTGGGCATGTTGGCTTAGGGGTGGGTACGTTGGCTTATTTTATGATGTTTCACGTCTCCCAAAGTCATTCTTCACTGAACTTTATTATTTACCAAGTTTACGGTCCGTGGGGGAGGGGTGGCGGGATGAGGGGAGAGGGGGGGGGAGACGAGAGGGGGAGGGGGAGGGGAAGGGGGGGAGATTATGTACCGATGTTGTGACTTACTGTAGGTGGGGAGGGGATGGTGTGAGGAAGGGTGAGTGTGGAGGAAGAAATGGGGTAGGGTGAGGGGGCAAGGGACGGGAAACAGGCGTCAAGGAAGGAAGGATCACAGGGAGGAGGAAGGAATGAAAGGAAAACAGACAGAAAGGAAAATAATAAATAAAATGAGAAGGAAAGAAAGGAAAGCTGGAAGAAGAAATAAGAGTGAGTGAGGCAGGAGCACTAGAAGCTATACATGATGCAGTATGTATGAGGGAGGCGGTGAAGGAGTGCGTGCTGGCGTCGTTGTCCTGACTCGAGGCTCCTGCAGGTGTTGGGTGTTTGTCTGAGCCAGGTAAAAGTCCGACCACGATGCCACGATTATTTTGGGATGGACTCTTAAGTGGACTGGGTATACGAGTTCATGTAGGAGGTGATTTAAGTGGTGCGAGTTTATGTCAGGACTCTTTAAGTGGACTGGAGGGTATTAGGACTCTTAAGTTAAGTGTAAAGTGGACTGGGTGTAGGGGAGGAAGAGGGTAACAGAGGACAACAGAGGAGGACAACAAAGACAACAGTGGACAACAGAGGAGGACAACAGCACTCTCATTTTCCCGAAATTTTAACTTTTGACGTTGGCAACCTAAGCGTCGGTCGGAAGAGAGAGAGGGAGAGAGAGAGAGAGAGAGAGAGAGAGAGAGAGAGAGAGAGAGAGAGAGAGAGAGAGAGAGATACACAACTAATAAGAGTACCTTGTTTCCCCCACAGGTCCGGCCATCGTTCACATCAACATTATGATCCGCAACGTGCAGACCATCTCTGACGTCAAGATGGTGAGTGTCTGTCTGTCTGTATGTGTATGTATGTATGTATGTGTGTGTGTGTATGTATGTATGTATGTATGTATGTAACACCGGTCTTTATTATCCTATTTGACTTTGGTTTTTATTTATATCAGCTCTTGTCAATCCGATCCGGTTTAATCAAGTTCATGCAATTGGTTTTATAGTTAATGACAACAACAATTAATTAAAATAACATGACTTAAAATTTCATCGAATCGTAATAATAATAATAATAATAATAATAATAATAATAATAATAATAATAATAATAATAATAATAATAATAATAATAATAATAATAATAATAATAATAATAATAATAATAATAATAATAATAATAATAATAATAATAATAATAATAATAATAATAATAATAATAATAATAATAATAATAATAATAATAATAATAATAATAATAATAATAATAATAATAATAATAATAATAATAATAATAATAATAATAATAATAAAACAACAACACCAACAACAACAACAACAACAACACGTACAATACTATCACCAACATCAACAAACAATAGGAAGAATAATTACACTTACTAACCAATAGTATTTATCATAGATACAATAACCGAGCACCAATAAGCCTGACATTTCACCACTGTGTCAGTCTGTCAGCTTTATGAGGTACACGTTACCTAGGACACTGTTATATAATACTGACAGACGATAATGTTCAGTAAAGATGTTGTATAAAATATGTAACACTGAGAGATTCCTATGAGATATGTGTTACTGAGACTATGTGTTACTGAGACTATGTGTTACTGAGACTATGTGTTACTGAGACTATGTGTTACTGAGACTATGTGTTACTGAGACTATGTGTTACTGAGACTATGTGTTACTGAGACTATGTGTTACTGAGACTATGTGTTACTGAGACTATGTGTTACTGAGACTATGTGTTACTGAGACTATGTGTTACTGAGACTATGTGTTACTGAGACTATGTGTTACTGAGAGACGTAGAGAGTTACCTACCACTAAGTAACTCTCCCTCTCCTCCCCATTACAGGAATACAGTATACAGATTACCTTCAGAGAGCAGTGGGTCGACCATCGTCTGACCTTTGATGATATGGGAGGTGAGATTCTTACCTGAGGCTATACTCTCTCTCTCTCTCTCTCTCTCTCTCTCTCTCTCTCTCTCTCTCTCTCTCTCTCTCTCTCTCCCTGTCTATCTATATTTTCCTCTGTCATTTATCTGTCTAAGTATCGATCTACTTGTTTATGGCATAGTGAAACCTTTTTCGTTCAATATACATCACCCACTACCTGTTCTCCCCCAGGTCATATACATCACCCACTACCTGTTCTCCCCCAGGTCATATACATCACCCACTACCTGTTCTCCTGCAGGTAATATACATCACCCACTACCTGTTCTCCCCCAGGTCATATACATCACCCACTACCTGTTCTCCTGCAGGTAATATACATCACCCACTACCTGTTCTCCCCCAGGTCATATACATCACCCACTACCTGTTCTCCTGCAGGTAATATACATCACCCACTACCTGTTCTCCCCCAGGTCATATACATCACCCACTACCTGTTCTCCTGCAGGTCATATACATCACCCACTACCTGTTCTCCTGCAGGTCATATACATCACCCACTACCTGTTCTCCCCCAGGTCGTATACAGTACCTGACGCTCACTGAGACAGATATGGTGTGGATGCCTGACTTGTTCTTCAAGAATGAGAAAGAAGGTCACTTTCACAAGATCATTCTACCCAACTTGTACATCCGTATCTACCCAAACGGTGGCGTCCTCTACAGTATCAGGTGAGTAGATGCTGTATTATGGTAGGGTAGATTAGTAGATGGATAGATAATAATGTCAAATACGATGGAAATAATCTGTGTCGACAATTTTCTGAACCACAAACTATCATATCACGATGGATCAAGCTAAACAGAGGGGCCCCACACCACGATGGATCAAGTTAAACAGAGGCCCCCCACACCACGATGGATCAAGCTAAACAGAGGCCCCCACACCACGATGGATCCAAGTTAAACAGAGGTCCCCACACCACGATGTATCAAGTTAAACAGAGGCCCCCCACACCACGATGGATCAAGCTAAACAGAGGCCCCCCACACTCGCTCCCTCGGTTGTCATATTCATTTACTGTACCGCTTACCGTTGTTGTCTCACTCGACGGTTTAATAATACCACAACATAGGAATCTGTCGTAAGCCTATTGTTCTTCGCTGTCGTTTGGATGCTGTTATTAGAGGTACCGTAACTGAGGAGAGTAAACCACATCACACAGAGTCTCGCTGGTGCACTGTACTCTCTCGGGTTAGGACCAGTTGTAGTTGAGCCAGAGGGAAAAGTTTCCACAGTGGCCGACAGCAGAGTTAATTGGGGGACCTGAGGCTGACAACTTTTTCTCGGCTGGCTGGAAAGTTTAGCCGCGTGTCAGAGGGGAACACTGATTCCTTTGTCCTGGTTGTGGGAGAGTTACAGTCCGCTGCTGGTGACGGCTGGCTGGCTGGAAATGACTTATGGAAGAGCAAAGAGACGAGAGAAAAAATGATATTCCTGATATTGTGTTATAGTTACTCGTGCACCTATACAAACACGAACGGAGAGACAAAACACACACTTACACAAGCTAATACACACACACACACACACACACACACACACACACACACACTATTCCAAACCCCTTTTCGATATGACTGACGTTGGACAAAACCATAAGCAATTAATAATTCCCTTCATCCGTTCTCAATCTTTCATTCTCACTGAAGTAAAAATTGTATCCTGCCACAATGTGTTCCTCTTCCTCAAAACAAGACCCCAAGATAATCCCTAACTGGTTCATCTGTCACTCCATCGTCTTTGAGGTTTTAGTGTAACATCTCGTCAGGCGAGGAGAACATGACCAGGGTCGTGTAGTAAATGTGTACCAACAAGGCGGCCAGTGCTGGTCTCACCTTCCCAGCCCCAGCGTGAGATTTCCAATGCAAGAGAACGTGAGTTGAGGTTCATTCATCTACTACGACCAGCTGTTTCTCTTTATTCTGTGATGGTGGTCGAATTCTTGTTGACATGGTACATCTGTATAAAAATCTGTATGGCAGAAGAAATGAATACTACGCCTAAATTGTCTCGAGAGGAGGAGAAGGGAAGAGAAATTCTGTAAATCTCTTCAAGTCCACAGAATTTTCTCACATGGACCCACAGTACCTGGAGGATTATCTCAACCGTCATTTATTGTTTATATTTTGTTACTATTTTTTGAAGTTGTTGTTGTAGGCTAGAAAGTAGGTGACCTCTACATGTGTTGATAATGGTGGGTGATACCGGACTGTGTGAAGTAACAGGGGTAAACCAGAAAGGTAATTAGAATTTGGGTTCTTGTTGTAGAAAGGATGGTAATACTTAACTTCACTTACGCATCTAAACTACCTATATATTACCAGTGTCTCCAGTGGCGTTGGTTCAGATCCCACCGCTGCCACCAGTTGAAAAAAATATCCAGTTTACCTACAGAAAACCACAAATCAAGTGCAGGACGAAATAATTTAATAAACTGAGAATTACATCAGTAAGGAGATAATTGTTATTAAAAGATGAAAAAAAGTGTTTTAGTGGAAAAGTGATAGTAGTGTGTGAGCTGTGAAGTGAATATGAGCAGGAAGAAAGAAAGAAAGAAAATACAGATAGAAATAGAGTGAAAAAAAGAGAACGAGAAGAATGAGAAAGAGAAGAATAAGAAGAAGACGAAAAAGAAGGTCAACAAAGATTGGATTTTAGACGAAACGGGAGAAGCTTAGGTAAGAGATTCCACCCAGTCTCTCAACTCTTATCTCGTCTTCTCCTTGACAGAATCTCGCTGACGCTGTCTTGCCCGATGAACTTGAAGCTGTTCCCGCTAGACCGTCAGCAGTGTCAGCTCCTCATGGCTTCCTGTAAGTACACTCTCTACACTAACTTGTCTTTTCCACGCCAATACACTTCGCACTTTCGCTGATATTTCGGTTAAAAGACTCTCTCTCTCTCTCTCTCTCTCTCTCTCTCTCTCTCTCTCTCTCTCTCTCTCTTCCAATATATACAGTACAAATAAATCTATATCTATCTTTATCTCTAGTTATCTCTTACCTACTTTCTCTCCACCCGTCTCCCTTGCTCTCTCTTTTCTCTCTCTATCTACCTTCCTCTCAGTCTACATCTCTCTATCTCCCATCTCCATCTCTCTATCTCTCTATCTATCTCCATCTCTGTAACTCTCTCTTTCTCTCTTTCGTTGAACAATATAAATTTAACAGAATTTAACAGACGGGGTGATTGGCCCTGCAGGTAGAGGACTCCCGCTCGGTAATCATTAGCCTCTACCACTACTACCACCCCGGGAGCTCCAATTAATGACCAGGGGTTTAAGAGTGAAATTATGGCCCCCACACACACACAAAATAAAGAAAAAAGTAGAAATTATGATGACTCAGATTGTCGTGTGTGGCTGTACTTTATTGTTATTTGTACTGATTTTAGTGGAAATATTTGGTAAAATGGATTAAATTTCTGTTTTATTTTTGTGTGAACGATAATAACATTAATCTAAATTACTACCGATTATTTTTGGGGGGCGTTGCTTAAGATAATTAAAACTGTATGTGTTTTTTAGTGTGTGTGTGTGTGTGTGTGTGTGTGTGTGTGTGTGTGTGTGTGTTCATCCTATCACCTACGTGTATGTATGTATTCATAGTATCACTTGTATGTCTGTGTGTGCATACTGTAAATATGAATCAGCTGTGTTTGTGTGTATTCTTTGCATTACCTGCAGTATGTGTATGTATGTATGTATTTATGTATGTATGGATGTATGTATGTATTCATCGTGCCAATCATGTATACACGTCCAACTCCCTATCATCTCTCATCAACTAACTGAGAAATGTTCCACACTCGATGTATCTCTCACTTCTCTCACTCCTTCCCTACGTCTGCCTGTCCCCCCCGACAGACGGATGGACGACGGAAGATTTAGTGTTTCTGTGGAAGGACGTTGACCCCGTCCAGGTGACCAAGAACCTTCACCTGCCACGCTTCACCCTCGAGAAGTTCATTACTGATTACTGCAACAGCAAGACCAACACAGGTCAGAGCATATTTGTTTTACTTTGTTGCCTCTCTATCTCTCATTTTCTCTATCTCTATCTTTAATTCTCTTTATGTCTCTCTTTCTCATCTCTTTCCTTATGTTCCTCTCTCTCATTTTCTTTCTCTCACTCCCTTTCAATCTCTCATTCTCTCTATCTTTCTCATTTTCCATTTCTTTCTTATACTGTCTCCCTCTTTCTCCACCTGTCTCTCAACCTCTGTTTCAACCAACTCTCCTCCCAAGACCAATATGTTCTAGCTCTCTGGATGCTGCCCAGTTAAACTAACACACGTCACTAAGATCCATTAAACTAAGTAAATTATCACCATGGAAAGTCGTCGTGTTAGTTCTCCAGGAAGGAAGGAACGTCATCATGTTTGTGAATCTATGCCGAGTTTACCTTTGTCTTTGGAGGAAAGTTATGTGTGTGTGTGTGTTATTGTGAGTGTGTGTTTTTTTGTAATTATATAAGGTTTCAAAGCATGGAATTACGATCATGAGTTTGTTTTGTATATGTAGTTAGTAAAGCAGATATTGGGGTTTATTTTCAAAGGCCTGTGTTTTGAGATGTAAGGAATCAGTGTTTTTTTTGTTATTATAGATGAAATATTGTATTAAGGTCTTTTATTATTTATTTTTGCTATGATTTGTGGGGGTTTGTTGTTGTTGTTGTTTATGTTTGGATGTTTCAGGTAATTTCAGGTGTCGGGGTGGAGCTGTGGCGTCGATGGCCAAGTGGATGTGATTATTATTGTTGTTTTAAAAGTCCGATGTGATGTTGGTTTCGTCTTGCAGGGAACACACACACACACACACACACACACACACACACACACACACACACACACACACACACACACACACATATAATTGTTGTGTTCATCTCCTTCTCTCCCACCTCCAGTACACAAGACGAGTCACACACAGTCAACTATGTATTAAAACGCTCTAGCTAACCCGCCCTGTACAGTTAATGGAGAAGGATGAACGAATAATTGACTCAAGTTAAAAATGATTACTGACCATATTACCTTCATCTCCTCCTCCCTTCCTTCTATTTAATGCTGAGGTGGCCGAGTGGATACAATTCTCGCCTCTTGTCCTAAAGGTGATTGGTTCATTCCTGGGAGATTATCAGTCAAGTATGAATGGACAAGTAACATTTACAGTTGGGGTTAGTGAAAACGGTCGAGTGCAATGCCATCCATACTGTCTCATTATATACCGAAGGCTTAGTATTCAGTAGGCTGTATCCGCGCTGCCCTAACGTTCCCTCACAGCTCTATGGAACCCATTTTTTCCTTTATTTGAAAACTTTTCTTTCCGTCTCAACATCTCAACATCTCGTTTATGCCTTTTTGATGTAATTTTCCTCCTCCGGCTGTACACTTGTCACTTCTCTTACTTTATATAACAGCTAAAACTTTTTCACCAGGCATTATGACATTTTATTACTTCTCTTCCTCTAAGGTCTTTTGACACACAACTCTGGCAATCGTTTACTCTCCTCCCCAGCTTGCTCTCTCCTCTCTCCGTCTCTCTCCTTCTCTCTCCTCTCCGTCACCTTGGTTATAGTTCCCCCTCTGGCTCAGCGACTGACGCCTTTACTGGTGTGGTCGTATGTTCTCCAGCTTCCTCAGTCACTTTGGTCTCCTCCTCGTGGCTCTCCGCCTACACTGGGGCGGGATACTCAAAACTGGTAGTAAGTTCTGGCCTGCAGGGGTCGCCAGCCAGATGCGACATAGGAAGCTGCGACTTGCGTCCGTTATGACTGTATACTCCAAAGGCAAGTTATGACGTCCTATGTTGGTCACGTCTTGGCCACAAATTGCGGAGTCGTAAATATCGTCACAGTCTGCAATTTAGCTCACACTTAACAACTATTGTGGGTGGTTGCTCAGCCAATCACAACACTAGCCTGTCAGCTGATAATGTCAACATAAACAAAAGGAACGAAAATGGAGAACACCGCTGACGTCGCCGCGGCAAAAGCGAAGAGAAGACGACCTAATATATCTGTCAGGTTAAGTTACGTTTGGTTAGGTTAGGTTAGGTTATAAGTGGCTGTTAGGTTGCGGATATATTTCGGCGTCTGGCAGTGATGACGGAAGCCTTAGAAAATACGGTACTGATAAAGAAAGTTTATGTCACATAAGCATTTGTTTCCCCAAGATATTCATGCCCGATAAAAGGATGTGGGTGACAGAGGTTAGGCTAGGTTATGTAGGTTTAAGATTAGGATAGTTTAGGTTAGGTTAGGTTAGGTTAGGTTAGGTTTGTTTAGGTTTGTTAAGGTTCAGTACCAAGAAAAACAAGTGGCATAGCTCTCCTTGACCGTTGATGAAAAGGTTAAGGTTTGTCAGAAGACATATGGACAGAACTCTATATTGATATTTATATAGAGAGGTAGAGCAGAAATAAGAATACTTTATTGTATCACGTTTTTGTCACAAATGTATATTTTGTGATTTTTTTTAAACCTTCTTTAGTACATCCAGTATACATTTGCTTCCCAAGGAAATTTCCGGCCTACAAGGGGGCCTTGGGGGTGAGGCCCCCCCCAGCAGGTAAGGCTAGGAGGTTTGTTATACACAGTGGCTCCTGAACCAGTACCAGTGCGCGATTTTCTGATGTTCCGCGAGATCTCTCGTTTTTCTGCGATCTTTATCCTGATTCAGTCATAACTTTTTGCGATCATACATCATAAGACATGGTCGTGCCCATGGCCATGGGCTAATTGTTTTGAGTAATGAGTCACAGCGAAAAAACACATCGTAGCTCAAGTTACGACCAACTCTTCGAGATGCGACGTCATAAATATTTTTGAGTCTCCCGCCCCTGGACGGTTCTAACCCCCTGTGTTCCTCCCTCCTGAGTTCTAACTTAATAATAGCTTTACCCCAGTACTTGATGTCTCTCTCTCTCTCATCCCTCGGGACCTCAGTGTGATAATTGTGTTAGTCTTCTCTCAACAGCGCAAGACCTGCTACTAGTGAGGGTTGCCTCCTCATGGATACGGACCGTAATAATTCTCATGTTCAGGTGAATACTCGTGCCTGATGGTGGCGCTGATCTTCAGGAGAGAGTTCTCGTACTACCTCATCCAGTACTACGTACCCTGCTGCATGTTGGTGATCGTGTCTTGGGTGTCCTTCTGGCTCGACCAGCACTCCGCGCCGGCCAGGGTGGCTCTGGGAGTCACCACGCTTCTCACCATGTCCACGCAGAGGTCCTCCATCAACCAGTCGCTGCCTCCTGTGTCCTACACCAAGGTACCCTCCTCGGCCACCTTTAGCGGCCCATTTAGTAACCTCCTCCTATTATCTGTTGGACAGGTGAATACAGTTGCCTTCGCGTAGACCTGGTCTTCAAGAGAGAGTTCTCGTACTACCTCATCCAGTACTACATCCCCTGCTGTATGTTGGTGATCGTGTCATGGGTGTCCTTCTGGCTCGACCAGAACGCTGTCCCCGCGCGGGTGTCCCTGGGGGTAACCACGCTCCTGACGATGTCCACGCAGACCTCCAGTATAAACAGTACTCTGCCGCCCGTGTCCTACACCAAGGTCAATCAGTAACACTCTCGGTGTGCATTGCATCCTGTGGAGACAAGTATCTGACCCTGAGGGGAACCGACCATCCTAGCACGCCTTCATCCATGCGATCCTGTTTACATTTACAACCATTACCCTAACAGACTGACACAGCCGCCTGCCTCGTCTCTGTACCGTGCGAAGCCTCTGTCCTTATCCTGGCCTCTCCCTCGTCCCTTAACGCATCAGACAGTTCCTTAGGTGCCCCTCCCCTCCTCCAGGTGGCCCCGAGTGTGTATATCAGGTTCTAAGTACCTCCCTAACCCGTGAGTCTTTCAGCAGCAGTGTCAGTGTGTCTGTCTCTGTAACGTGGATGATATAAACACGTAGGTAGACCGGGTTGTTACTTCTGTACGCCCTGCATGTGTGTGTGATAGTAACAAGTGATGCCACGCTCTGCCTCATAATTATGATCCCCGGAATGTTTATCTTAACCTTGCATGCGTGTGGATGTGGTCACGACAATAATTAATGGCTGGTGTTCAATACCTGGAGAGATATTATTCAGTGTGTCGTGTAGGTGAGTGTTAACAACCAACCGATGCTTACTGTTACCTGTGATGCTTTGTGTGTATGTGTGTATGTGTGTGTGTGTGTGTGTGTGTGTGTGTGTGTGTAGCGTCCCTCATTAACCTTATACCCAGGTGTTGAAGAAGCACCACCACCCTCCTCTCATCAGGTGTTTCACTGCCAGCATCCCCACTTAGCTACGTTAGCACTTTTCATGTTGGTATGGCATATAATATTTTGTTTGAACTCTTCTTGTTATCTGGTAGTTTGTGAGTAGTTAGTGCTGTTTCTTTTTTACTCCAGAATGTGAAGTGTTGCATTTTGATTGGTTTTTCTTTATGATATTGATAATATTCCTGTGTTTTGTTGTGTATTTACTGTACGATCATAAGAGCAAGGTATGGGAGGCAGTCAGATGGTTTACCGAGTATGTGATGTATGGCTGACCAGATTATACCAAACACGGTTAATATATGTATGTTGTATGGGGTCCACGAAGTAGTCATAAGTAATGATATTATATTCTCAGCAGTTTCTCTTGTCTTAACCCTTTGACGACGATGGTGTAATCTTCAAAGAACGATGATTTAACCCTTAAGGACTCAAATTGTTAAGCGGGGGAGACGAGAAGGAAGACTCCTCTTACCAGTAGACATTCTTTAACGGTGATGGGATTTGGTACAGCGACGAAGTAGGACAAAGCTAATCGAAGATATTCCCGGTGCCTGACGTGACAGAGTATATCAGTGGCGTCTGGAGAAGGTGCCAGTAGAGTGCCTTGAATAGCACCTCTCTATAATTTATCATACATTAAGAATAATGCCTAAGAGATTCAAGCGTTAAAATGGTACTTCTTCGGGTTAAAAGTCTTTCACTAGGAGAAGGAAGACCAGCGCCCCACTGACTCGTGTCATAATTATGCTAGTGACGGCAGCCAACCCTGAGTTTCTTTACACCGTCTGGGTAACTGAGAACCTGGACGCCTCGGACTAGCTCACTGCCTCAGCTCTTACAGCCTCAACAGTGGTGATCCTCGGCGTGTTCAAAACATTACCAAGTCAGGTTTTTGGAACAGAAGTGGAACATGTAAACAATATATCACAGTACTTGATGGGGCGACCGAGTGTGTCTAGTACTGACGAGATGACCTGAACTGTCATCCAACTCTCTCTCTTGTGTTAGAGGATCAATAAACGACTCTCTTTAACCCTCTGAGTGTATGAACGACTTTTAGGATTTAACAGTTATATTATGGACCACCCCTGAAGCCTTTTAACATCAAATTCAATTACTTCTGGTACAATGAGGTGCCTAGCGTGATGCAGGTCTTGGTGTTGCCTATGCAATATAAAAATCTTCTGCAATGTATTAGAAAACTTAAACAAGTCAAGGATACAAAGAGGGACCCAGCACTCACCCTGAACGACCCCGCATCTCATGGACCCTGGCGGAGAAGCCTTGAACTAATATGCTTGTGCCAACATAACACGCGCAGGGATCCGGTTCTTTCTGTGTGAAGGAAAGAAATTATGCTTGAGGTCTCGTCTTGAGTCCATCACAAGGAGTCTTAAACTTATTCTTCAACAATTTCACTTAGATGGTGTTGGGATGAATCTTATAATCTGGAGCCAAACTTAAGTTTATCAAGAAAACTGGAATAAATGAGTTGTACATTACTGTAATTAATAGATCCGTGTTAGAGTGTATGTGTGTGTGTGTGTGTGTGTGTGTGTTGTGTGTGTGTATGCGTAGTGTAGTATGTGGCATGTAGTGTTTGTGTGATATGTGGTGTGTGTGTTTTGTATGTGGTACGTAGTATCAGTGTGGAGTATGGCATCGGTTCATCACATCATCGTAGTTACATATAATACTGAATGTGGTGTCAGCTGGGCATGAGGTACAGGTGTATAGCTTCTCACAATCCCCCCTACATGTTGCTCCACCCACCCGTCAGTCCTCCCTGACTACTGACTAACTAATAATAGCCTCTTTAATAATAACCTTCTTAATAACCTCTACATATACAACAACAACAACAACAACAACAAACAACAGCTGCCGTAATGTTTTACTGGCACAAGCCGATGGTATGAATACTTTATAACCAACTCGTAATGTAACTTGCAGCCATATGTTGTGTCTAAAGTATTACCAACAACGGGTATGAATATTGGACTTTTCGACCACTCTTTGCTTATTACTGGAACATAGACGCATAGTAACCATAACTAGACATCGGCCGACCATAGTGTAACACTTGCTCCAAAACAGTATCTATACGGACGTCCGATGAGTACTACGACTCCAGTTGTCTCGTAGGGTCGTCAAAATCCTTCGTAAAGTATCCAAATGGGTTATGGTTTATCCACGTCGTGTTAGCCCCCCATGAACACTCTCCTCATTCTTCGCTAGTCAAAGAAAATAATAAAAGGACGTAGTTTAGGCTAGATTAGGTTAGGTTATCCTAATTAAACTTGAACCAAGTTGACCTGACCCAAATAAGGGAAAGGGGACATGATATTTTTCAATCTCGCTGTAAAAAAAAGGGAGAATAAAGTAATTTTTTTATTTTCTTAAGTGATAAGGGGAAGACCAGTCACTCTCCTCAGAAGGTCCCAGAAGGTCCCAGAAGGTCCCAGAAGTATATGAGGTCTTTAAGAGGTGTTAGAGGACCCACGAGTCTTAGGATATATAGGAGAAGTAATAATGCTTTAATAGGAGACTCTAGGAACGGCTTTAAGGGTGTGTAGGAGGCCATAGGAACGGCTTTAAGGGTGTGTAGGAGACCATAGGAGGCCTGACGGAGGTATAGGAGACCATAGGAGGCCTGGTGGAGGGATAGGAGACCATAGGAGGCCTGACGGAGGTATAGGAGACCATAGGAGGCCTGATGGAGGTATAGGAGACCATAGGAGGCCTGGTGGAGGTATAGGAGACCATAGGAGGCCTGGTGGAGGTATAGGAGACCATAGGAGGCCTGGTGGAGGTATAGGAGACCACCTCGTCTGTATAAACACCGCGCCACCATTAACACGAAGCTTAAAGAAAATTCCAATAATTCCGTTGATGGTAAGAATCTAGACCTTGACCTCTGACCCTGACCTAACCTCTGACCTTGACCTCTGACCCTGACCTAACCTCTGACCTTGACCTCTAAACCTAAACTCTGACCTTGACCTTTAACCCTGATCACTGATGCTGACCTCTGACCCTGACCTCTGAACCTTTCGAAAAGATTCCAACAGCGTCCAGGAATGGCCATCGAGAATAATACACTAACCAGAGCAAAATACTGAAGGCAGTTGTTCAAAGCGTTTTTTTGGGACGAGCACAACCCCCCAGTGACACTCTGACCTCACTCGTCAACAACTTTCTGTGTGAGGCTGATCAGAAATGCTTACAGGAAGGCAATGATTTGACGACAATCGCTCAAAGAGTTCGCCAGTTAGAATGCCTTCAGTAGGACGAACAGAGAAATATTATCGTCGCCTATAAGGTAATACTTGCCGCCGCCGCCGCGTGTATGTGTTTCATCTCAGACCTGGAGTGTGACGGACGAGGCTGACGGAAAATCATTTACTGTAACTTATCGACTAACTTAGTACTGGCGGCCTTAGCAACGTCCACACTTGATTGGTTGCAGCCAGCAGCCAATCAAATTTCCAAAATTGTGATGGTTGCTGAGGAAGCCAAAATAAATTAATGTTAGTCGATGATTTTAATGATTTGGGGGAACTTCCAGGTGTACACAGACACGAAAGATTCAGACCTTTATCAGTGGTCCCGAAATAAACAGACACGGGTATTTTATTAACCCTACGACCAAATATACACCAGGTCGCCATTTTTCACCTCATCATGAATAACAGATTTATATCGTGTTATATATAAACGACATCAGATACAATGATGGGTCAACCTTTAGCGGTCAAACGGACGAGTCGAGGTCAAGTATGATTCGAGGTCAAGTATGATTCGAGGTCAAGACAAACTTTTCTTCCGATATCAATACTGGAGAAACAAAATCATTATAATGAATATCGACCGACAGTACCGACCAACAATACCGACCAACAATCCCCGACCAATAATACCGACCAACAATACCGACCAACAATACCGACCAATAATACCGACCAACAATACCGACCAATAATACCGACCAACAATACCGACCAACAATACCGACCAACAATACCGACCAACAATACCCGACCAACAATACCGACCAACAATACCGATTCTCACCTTGTAAAATACTAAAGCACATTACTGTATTGAGACATGACCCAACCTATCATCCCGCCATGACCTAGCCCAACCCTGCTAATATCCCGCCATGACCTAGCCCAACCCTGCTAATATCCCGCCACGACCTAGCCCAATCCTGCTAAAATCCCGCTTTGCTCCTTCGGTTTTGACGTTGTGTATCACGGACGGGCGACACACACACACACACACACACACACACACACACACACACACACACACACACACACACACACACACACTCGAATACTCACCCTTTGCGCTGCTTTCTTTAACGATGGCTGAACTGTGGTTTTCTTCACCTCCCGCCTTACACCGCAATGTTTTCCGTCGACCGTCCGACCAACCCCGACCCGCCCAGCCAAGCCCAGCTCCGCCCCGCCCGCCCCACCTCCACCGCCTCCTCCTCCCGCCCTGCTCTTCTGCAGCTGTGTGCATGCCTCGCCAATAATATTCCCTTCTCAAGGCACATGCCCCAATTGCCCCACCAGCTACCGAGTGGCCGACTTTCCGAGCCCTGGCTGTCTATGTGGAGTAATGTTTCTCTTGGACGTGTGTGTGTGTGTGTGTGTGTGTGTGTGTGTGTGTGTGTGTATAGCTCTTCTAGTGTTCAGATAACTGTCAATATTAACACAACTATACTGTGGGTATTTCTTCTAAAGAGAATAATTGAACTGAAAGATATTTAGGTGAATCAACAACAGAGCCCGGAGAGGTAGGTGATGGTGGCGGTGGTGTTGTGGCTGGTCACCAGGACTTGACCCTTGTCTCGCCTTCCCCCTCCCTGCAGGCCATCGACGTGTGGACCGGTGTGTGTCTCACCTTCGTCTTCGGGGCGCTGTTGGAGTTCGCGCTCGTCAACTACGCCTCGCGGTCTGATAAACACCGCGAAAAGATGAAGGAGAAACTAGAGGAGCAGAAAAAGCAGTGGGAGGCGGACCACGCTGCTGCTCTGCAAATTGCCATGCAGGAACAGACGGAGGACGGCCACACCTTCGCCATGGTGAGTCGGAGGAGCTGCGTCAAGAGTGGGACTGAACGGTACCGGAACACCTGCTGTAGGGAGACTCATTAGGCGGGTCTTGATGTTTTTATCACCTTTCTTGTGTCTGTAGGAATGATCCTCTTGTTCCCCCTCGTCCTTGACTCAATATTAGGATATGCTCTTTAGATCAGGACAGGTCATGGTGCTACTGTAGGAGGAAGGTAGGGTAGGTCTAGCTAGGCTTAGGCTCTACGTAGGGTTTGAGTGTACAGTGGATATGATGTCATGTGTGTTCCGGCACCATTGAGTCTCTTGTTGTTTTTTAAATATATGTTTGTGTCTGCCTGTTTGTCTGTCTGTCTGTCAGCTTGCGTTTCTCCAAGCTCACATCTTGAGAATGGACTGATAAATCTGTCGAGAATCCCTAAGGAGTTGTGAGATGCAAGTTTACCTTTACAAAGTGTACCGCCCCTCCCCACCCCCCTCCCCCGCACGCCCTCTGATAACTCCTGTATTAGAAACCCTTTGACCACGCCCGTAGATTTAGAGAGCAATAAAAGAGAGAAAGAGAGAGAGGAGAGAGTGGGTAGCAGGGTTAGCGGTGTTCCATGTAGAGTTTATTCTAAAGGGTATTTCAAATCTTGCCCTATCCAGCCGGCCTCACCGCCTCGGCCTCGTCGCTTCATGGATCTACTTATCGCTAAGACGGTAAGTAAGTGTGGACGAGGAGCGGGATGACTTCCCACTGTACTGTACTGAACTGTTCTGTACTGCACTGTACTGTACTGTACTACACTGTACTGTACTACACTGTACTATACTACACTGTACTGTACTGTGCTACACTGTACTGTACTGTTCTGTACTGTACTGTACTGTACTGTACTGTACTGTACTGTACTGTACTGAACTGTTCTGTACTGCACTGTACTGTACTATACTACACTGTACTGTACTGCAGTGTACTGTACTGTACTGTACTACACTGTACTGTACTGCATTGTACTACTTTGTACACTGCTACACTGTACTGTACTCTTTCTTACTGCACTGTACTAAACTGTTCTACTGTACTACACTGCTGTACTACACTGTTACTGTACTGTACTGTACTGTACTGTGTACTACACATGCTGTACTGTGTGCTACACTGTTCTGTACACACTGTACTGTGCTGTGCTACACTGTACTGAACTGTTCTGTACTGTGCTGTACTGTACTGAACTGTTCTGTACTGTACTACACACTGTACTGTGCTGTACTACACTGTACTGTACTACACTGTGCACTGTACTACACTGTACTATGCTGTACTGTACTGTACTGTACTACACTGTACTGTGCTGTACTGTACTACACTGCTGACTGTACTTCACTGTACTGTAGTACACTGTGCTGTGCTGTACTACACTGTACTAACTGTTCTGTACTGTACTGTACTGTACTGAACTGTTCTGTACTGTACTACACTGTACTGTACTACACTGTCATGCTGTACTACACTGTACTGTGCACTATTGCTGTGCTGTACTGTACTGTACTACACTGTACTGTACTGTACTACACTGTACTGTACTACACTGTACTAAACTGTTCTGTACTGTACTGTACTGTACTGTACTACACTGTACTGTTCTATACTGTACTGTACTGTACTACACTGTACTGTACTACACTGTGCCTAAACTGTTCTGTACTGTACTGTACTGTATGTACTACACTGTACTGTACTTTACTGTACTATACTTACTACTACACTGTACTGTACTGTACTGTACTATACTGAACTGTTCATGCTACTGCACTGTACCACTACACTGTACTCGAACTGTTCTGTACTGTACTGTGCACACTACACTGTACTGTACTTTGTTCTGTACTGTACTGTACTAATTTTACTACCATGCTACACTGTACTACACTGTACTACACTGTACTAATTTGTACTGTACTGTACTGTCTGTGCTATACACTGTACTGTACTACACTGTACTGTACTGTACTACACTGTACTGAACTGTTCTGTACTGTACTGTACTGTACTACACTGTACTGTACTATGCTACACTGTACTGTACTGCATTGTACTATGCTGTACTACACTGTACTGTACTGTACTGTAGTACACACTGTATATACTGTACTACACTGTACTGTACTATGCATACTGTACTACACTGTACTGTACTACACTGTACTACACTGTACTATGCTGTACTGTACTGTACTACACTGTACTATACTATTGTACTGTACTGTACTGTACTGCAGTGTAGCTATGCTGTGGTGCAGCTCTTGTACAACAATGATAAACATCTCTTAGTCTCTATTAGCACACTTTCTTTATCTCTCTTAGTTAACATATTTTTATTGGTAAGCGAGAGGAGTAGATGTTGTTTGCTTGTGCCTGGCCTCCTGAAGGTGAAGAGTAGCCTCATCACTAGTTGTAACACGCCAGCCAATAGATTCACCTGTTAGTATATGTTGAGTGTGTGGTGTGAGGTAAGCCGCCTGCCCGGGTTACAGGTAAACAAAGAACTTAATTGACAAACAAATAATTATAAAACAAAGATAATATGTGAACTCAGAGTATAGTTGATGTGAAAATTACCTTCACGTGCCCCACCAAACAACGACACTATGTGGTGGAGAAAGACAGTGAGGGACATACACGTGGTGGGGTTGGGGCGTTGGGTGACACTTATGTTCCTCGCCATCACTCAGTGTGTGTGAGCAATGACGTCATTTGGTGGTACCTTTTATGGGAATGGAAGGAAGGGAAGAAGGAGGATGGGGGAGGGGGAAAGGAAGAAGGGGGATGGGGAGGGGGAAGTCGAGAAAGGGGAAAGATGGGGAGGGAAGGAGGATGGGGGAGGGAGTAGAAAGGGGGAAAGAAAAGAAGGAAATGAAGGAGGATGAGGAAGGGAGAAGCGGAGAAAGAAGGAAACGGGGAGATGAAGGAAGATGGGAAGGAAGAAATAGGATATAGCTGTCAGGTGGAGGTGTATTGACTGGTGTTGTGACAGTCTACACTTTACTCCGCCATCTCCCGTTTTCTATGAAGATTCTTCAACATTCAGTGAGAAAAAATTAGAAAATAGACAACTTGTGGCCTTAACACTATGTACTATACAGAACACAAAACCCAACCCAGCCCAGCCAGCCCACCCTACCCAGCCCAGCCCACCCTACCCAGCCCAGCCACTCTGCCCAGCCCAGCCGGCCCAGCCACCCAGCCCACCCCTACCCAGCCCAGCCCACCCTACCCAGCCAGTCCACCCCTACCAACTATTACCTCTTGTTATTTTCTCTTATTGATCCTCTCTTATTATTGGTATTACCTCTTATTATTATTATTATTATTACCCTCTTATTATTATTATTATTATTATTATTACCTCCTATTGATACCCTATTATTGGTATTATATTATTACCCTCTTATTATTACCCTCTTATTATTATTATTATTATTATTATTATTATTACCTTTATTACTATTATTGATTACCCTCTTATTGTCACTCTTATTACCCTCTTATTATTATTGATACCCTCTTGTTGATACCTACTTATTATTATTATTATTATTACCATTTATACCTATTGCCCCTCTGAGCCCAGCATTGATACCTACTTATTATTACCCTACCCAGCCCACCTACCCAGCCCACCCTACCCAGCCCACCCTACCCTATCCTACCCTACGAATCTAACCTAACCTTTAAATAGCCCAAAATCTTAACCTAACCAAATAATATGGATGTAATGTACAGAAAAATCGTGAGCTCAGATCTGGATAAAGAAGCGGTGTTGACTTTTGTAATTCTTGTATTAATGTTTCACTGTTTATTAAGTTTTCGTGTTTTTTCAAGAACCTAAACTGCTTGGCAATTTTCTTAATCGTTAAATTGATGTTTAACTGATGTTTTATTTTCGCTGTGTTTATGTTGGTATGTAGTTATGGATAATGTTTAAACAAGGAAAACAATATTATGATTTTGTTTTTGTAGTTTGTGTTGTGATTGGTGGTTGTGTTGTAGGTGTGTTGTGATTGGTGGTTGTGTATTGTAGTTGTGTTTGTGTTGAAGGTGATGTTAGTATTTTATTTGTGTGTTTATTATTAGTTTTGAGTAGTGTTATAGTGATTAATATATGGTAGATTAAGTATTTTTATAGGTTAATTTATCACACACACACACACACACACACACACACACACACACACACAGAATCAGTCCATATCACAACAGAGACACAAAAGACTATAGTATTGCTTGACACCTGATCAGACACCTCTATACACTAATTATTGTAAATCACCTTCGTTGTCGTTCAATTTAAAAACACCTCCTTAACAATCATGATCAAATCCAAATCTATTGATAATTTTGTAATTTATTTTTGGAAAATATTTCGCGACGTAGTTACTGATTATTTATGACTGGTTTGGATATTCATGCTTCTCTCCCGGGTGTATTAACTCCTATAGAGGCCGCTGGTGTCGCGAAATGGAGGCATGGGGGCAGAGAACGTCACCTGCGAGATACACCTCCAGGCGCCGCGTCAGAACTGCTGCAGGACGTGGCTCTCTAAGTTCCCTACACGTAGTAAGCGGATCGACGTTATCTCCCGCATCACCTTCCCCCTCGTCTTCGCCTTCTTCAATATGATCTACTGGAGCACCTATCTCTTCACCGAGGAGGATGACGACAACGGCAAATAAACGAAAGGGTAAGTGTTGTGAACGAGTGGGCGTGTGAGTCAGTGAGCGTGTGTGTTTATATAAGTATGTGACTGTATTTACATCACTTTCTCCAATATGTTTGTACATATATAACGTATGTGTATTGTCCAAAACATACACAGACACCAATACACCTTACAACATTCTTCCAAACTAATGTAAGCATCTTCTCTCCCACACAGGTAAATAAAACAAAATAACTGCACATCTTGAATTACGTGAACCATTAGCGTGTCTCTCTGACTCGAACTCTGCCCCAGGATCTAGAGGACTACCTGAGGGTTATAGATCCTGAAGACTTAGAGAAGTGACGCATTGGACCCCAAGGACAGTTTACGAGAGACATAAGTGTTAGTTAGGAGTAGCAGAACACGACAATCAATAATAATGTTGATAGTTCTGGACCTTGGTGGAAAGGTAGTTGTAAAAAAAGTTGTAAAAGTTGTAAAAAACTTCTTGGAAAACTGGAATATAAATAAGTGGAAATTTGAAAGACTGGAATTATAGGCTAGATTGGAACTATGCTTGACTGGAAACAACAATCACAAAAATTCTCTTTGATTGGAAACTGTAATCACTGAAACTAATCCTGATTGGAAGAAAAAAGTTTTGATGATTGAAACTAATTGTTGACATAAACTTAACATTAATTCTGATAGAGCCATAACTGGTTAAAAAAGAAGACTAGGATTTTCTGAAGTTATGGACGACGTACAGGATACAAAGGCAGTTTAATGACCAGAAACTAAGACACCAAGGAACCAATGATGTTTGAAACCATACATTGGTAATGGTTTGGGGGGTTGGGTTAGTGCCAAGAGAGAGAGAGTATAGGGATCTGCTTCAAAGGTTTCACTGATCTTTTTTATCCAGAATGAATGAAAAGGAAAGAAAATAGAAAGGCATCTCGTTCATTGCTCAACAAAAAGTAACTTCGTCTGGTCCTGTTCCTCTTCCTTCATGATATAACAGAAAACGGGAGAACACAAAGACTTACTGAACGAAAATATTTGGGACAATTTTAAATACAAAAATAATGAATGTGTAGTGGCAGAAATATAAACAATGAAGGCTTACCAGGAAATAATGAACGTGTTTATGAAGAAAAAAAAAGGCTTTGTAGTTTGTTAACCATACGAGAAAGACACACTGTGCATACATACATACATTCACTTTAAGTATATCTCATGATGATGGCAATACTCAATATATTCACTGTGATATATACAAACAAACTTAGCAGTGGGATTCGTGCGAGCTTCAGATGATAATGAAATAGATTAGTTATGTTAAATAAAAATGTATATTGACTTTGTATGTTAAGGTGTAACCAGAATGTGTTTTTTTTTTTGCTTTTGTTAATGTTCTATATAATAGGTCATTAACCCCCCCCTCTCCCAAATAGTCTCAAATCACCTTCCCTCCTTAACTGGCTTATTAGTAGACCTCCCTGCAACCTACCTCAGTCCTATATAATATTTTCATTGACCCACAAACATAACAAAAACTTTCCAAAACACCAACAAAAACAAAAGAACCTTGTTGTTTTACGTATTATTTTGGTACTAAAACAAAAACAAAACCAATAACAGATGTACACGGATATAACGGCACCCAAGCCAATGGTCTAGAATTTCTATACATTATGAAGTAGTTATAGACAATAGTGTTGTAAAATAAACTAGGCATTAATACGCTCAATGGATCTTTATAGTATAGTGTACAGAACATACACAGACTATGTGTCCGCTTGCTTGTGACCGTTTAATTGTATTTGCTTTCATTAGTCTGTCTGTCTGTCTGTCTGTCTGTCTGTATGATTATTATTCCATAGTTTAACAGTGTTGACGGTAATCACGGGTTCTTTCCTCATTTTCACTTCCATGTCTGTCTGTCTATCTGCCTGTCTATTTATCTGTCTATCATTCTCTCTCAATATGTCTGTCTATCTGTCTATCATTCTCTCTCAATATGTCTGTCTATCTAGCTATCTGTCTATAATTCTGTTTTTCTCATGTCTCTGTGTATTAAGCTATCTGTCTCTCTTCTCACTCTGTCTCTCACTGTCTCTTTTTCAGTTCTGTCTAACATGTGGAGGTAGAAAGGTCCTTTTAAACTTTACTGTATTATATTGTTAAGGTTTATTACTAAGATTTTAATACGACTTTGTGATGTAAGTTAAGATGATGGTGACGATGATGGTGGTGATGGTGGTGGTGGTGGTGGTGGTGGAGGTAATGGATGGGGTGGTGATAGTAGTGGTGATGGTGATGGTAGTGGTGGTGATGTGAGTGGTTGTTGATGGTAGTGGTGGTGTGATAGTGGTGGTGGTGGATGGTGATGGTGATGGTAGTGGTGGTGATGGTGATGGTGAGTGGTGGTGATGGTAGTGGTGGTGATGGTAGTGGTGGTGATGGATGGTGATGGTGATGGTAGTGGTGGTGATGGCTGGGGTGGTAATGGTGATGATGATGATGATGGTGAACAAAATAACGAATTCGGATGCTGCTGATGAAAATGATGAAACAATGACAATGATTGTGAATATGAAACAAATTATGACGTTGATAATGGTGAGGATAATGATGATGGTTATGATAATGATGATGTCAAAACAGATAAAATGATGATAATGTGATAATTATTGAGTTACTGTGATATGAAAGACGACCATAGAGTAGATAATTATCACTATCATCTGTTATTTGGTGATGATAGTGAGGCTAGATGGTGATGATAGTGAGGCTAGATGGTGATGATAGTGAGGCTAGATGGTGATGATAGTGAGGCTAGATGGTGATGATAGTGAAGCTAGATGGTGATGATAGTGAGGCTAGATGGTGATGATAGTGATTCACATAGTATTCAGTAGTATTGTGAACGTACGTCAAGATAATGATATAATACGTGACACAACGAAGCCAAGCAAAACTGGTCTTTAACAGTAGGGGTCTTCAAGGCTCTTCCACCTGTACAGTTCAAAAGGTAAAGGTGAACAAGTATTGAACACGGTAAGAAACACCGAGAGATGATACACGTAAACAACTGACAGAACTTTGTGTGTAAACAGTTTTTTCAAGTCATGTAAACATCAAGAAGCCATAAATTCATCAGCTCACCAAAAGGAAAAGTAAACAAACAAATAAACAAATAACCAAACAAACAAACAAATAACCAAACAAACAAACAAATAACCAAGCAAAAACAATACATTCATCATGGGATAAATTATTAGTAATATTCTTGTAAATTGTGACCGACTTTACAAGGAAAGTTCACCATATTAATGTTTAAACTCAGTAATATTGAGCAAATAAAATATATCAGTGGGGTACAGCTGAAAGAGTTGGGACTCCAGTGACGGGATAAGCAGCTCCAGGGTGTTCCAGGGACTCCAGTGACGGGATGAGCAGCTCCAGGGTGTTCCAGGGACTCCAGTGACGGGATGAGCAGCTCCAGGGTGTTCCAGGGACTCCAGTGACGGGATGAGCAGCTCCAGGGTGTTCCAGGGACTCCAGTGACGGGATGAGCAGCTCCAGGGTGTTCCAGGGACTCCAGTGACGGGATGAGCAGCTCCAGGGTGTTCCAGGGACTCCAGTGACGGGATGAGCAGCTCCAGGGTGTTCCAGGGACTCCAGTGACGGGATGAGCAGCTCCAGGGTGTTCCAGGGACTCCAGTGACGGGATGAGCAGCTCCAGGGTGTTCCAGGCTAAAGGTCCAGTAGCTGAGAGAATTTCAGTACTGAGAGACACATGTGTTCCAGAAGTGAGGCTCTAACGCTGAGAGAAGATGTTCCAGGAGGTGAGAAAAGGTTCTAGGAGTTGAGAGAAGTTCCAGGAGCTGAGAGAAAAAGTCCCAGTAGCTGAGAGAAGAAGTTCCAGGAGCTGAGAGAAGAAGTCCCAGTAGCTGAGAGAAGAAGTTCCAGGAGCTGAGAGAAGAAGTCCCAGTAGCTGAGAGAAGAAGTTCCAGGAGCTGAGAGAAGAAGTCCCAGTAGCTGAGAAAAGAAGTTCCAGGACGTGAGAAAAGAAGTTCCAGGACGTGATAGAGGAACCATTTCCAGTGCTGGGGGAAGTTCCGAATCTGGATTCAAGAGAAGAAGAGACATGAAATTCCAGCACTGGCAGAAGAAGTTCCATCACTGGATGTTTAGGTTCCAGTACTGGAAAAGCTAACCTTCCAACGCCCATCATAATATTTCTATCTCTCTCTAATCTAGTTCAATAAGTATTTTATCCTCTCTTCAGAGTTGCTTGCCACGTTGTCTCTCTCTCTCTCTCTCTCTCTCTCTCTCTCTCTCTCTCTGAGTCTCTCTCTCACTCTCTTTCTCTGACTCTCTCTCTGACTCTCTTTCTCCGACTCTCTCTCTCACTCTCTCATGTATAGCCACAAGGACCTTCATACCAAGAGGATAGTCTCTGTAGTCCCCGGCCTTAACCATGATCTCTCGCCTTTAACCACTGATTATTACCTTTTATCCGAAGTCTGGATCATCCGACCTTTAAATCATCTGCCTTCTTCCTTCTCTTCAGACACTTCCTTAACCCTCATATTCTGCCCTCCTCTCCTCTTCATCCGTCCCCTCTTCTCTTTGTCTGCCCCCCTCTCCATCACCAACCTCTCCTGTCTCCTCCCCACCTCACCATACCTCTCCCCCTCCTCCCCTCCTCACCATACCTCCGCTCCTCCCCTCCTCACCATACCTCTCCCCGCTCCTCCCCTCCTCACCATACCTCTCCCGCTCCTCCCTCCTCCTGCCCTCTCCTGTCTCCTCCTCCTCACCATACCTCTCACTCCTCCCCTCCTCACCATACCACCCCCCCATCTCTGTGGGGAGCATCAACATGGCTTCCATCAGAGGTCCTCACTATCACCCAATTGCCCTCACTATGTCTGTCCTCACCGAAATCTCTCACCGTTGGCCAATTTTCTTTCACTCCTTCCCTCTCTCCTCCTCCCTCTCTCACTCCCTCCTCGCCCCTCATGTTGTAATTGGTGGGGGGGTGTCCATAGGTCCCCCTAGTCTCATCACGCCCCTTCAGTCCTAATAGGCCCCTCCAAGTCTAGATAGTTCTTCAGTCTCTTTGGCCCCACTTTTAACAGGCCCGTGTCAATGGATCCCAATTTAAGTTTGCCGTAACGGGTCCCAATCCTCGTAGGTTAGGTTAGGTTGGCCCATCATGATCCCATTTGAGTTGGGGTCTAGCAGGATATGAACCTCTCAGCACCATATGGTACTGGGGCCCACCTGACCCCCTGGCCTCTCTCCCTCTCCACTTCTCACTGTAGTGTCTCCTCCACCCCCTGGCCTCTCTCCCTCTCTCACTTCTCACTGTAGTGTCTCCTCTCCCCACCCCCTGGCCCCTCTCCCTCTCACTTCTCACTGTAGTGTCTCCCTCTCCCTCTCACTGTAGTGTCTCACTCTCACCCCCTGGCCCCTCTCCTCTCACTGTAGTGTCTCCTCCCCACCCCTGGCCCCTCTCCCTCTCACTGTAGTGTCTCACTCTCACCCCCCTGGCCCCTCTCCCTCTCACTTCTCACTGTCTCACTCTCCGTGTTGGAGTCGCTAATAGCAGGTCCTTTGCACAAACTGTGAATTCAAGTCACTGTAATGTACGGTAGATGTTTGAACTATTTCAAGGTTATGTAACTCTTGTCATTCATATGTCTATGTATTTCATTTTAGTCCATATAACAGGCGGACTTGAACATATAATCAACGACCTCCCAAAGGACTCGGACCCCAGGGTTCGAGTCCTGGTTGGTGTAGTCGTTGATTATATGTATATGTATATGTATATGTATATAATGTTAATATGCATATGTATATAAAGAGATCTAAAGACAGAGACATGTATATACAAGAAAACACACACACACACGCACACACACACACAAGGGGCGGGACAGCCTACATGGTTCAGTAACAACATAATACAGGCAGACGACATTATGTGTTCCTATGAGGTTATGTTGCCGTTATGTTGGGTTCTCCGTCCTGACTCGCCCGTCGTCATGACAACAGCATCAAAGACGAAAAAACAAATCACAAATTTCCTTTTTTTTAATGAATGAATCGAGTTGTTATTCATTTATTTACATACCAAGATGAATGAAAATGAAGATAGGTTTTTGATAGAATGTAAAAAATATCATATTTATTTATCTACACATCCAGATGAATAGAAATGTATAAACACTTCGAAAATAAGAAAAATAGTTCACATTCATTCATTTACTTGATAAAACTAATGAAAATTGTCAAAGATTTTTTTTATAGAATGTAAAAGTTATACATAAATTTAGTTAAGACATCGATAAGAATAAAAGTGAATAAGGAGTTTCAAGAGAATGAATTAAGCTCATGTATATTTTATTTTACACTTACGATTTTTTTCTTTACATATGGTTAGATGGAGCGATGTTTCTTATGTAAATTTAGAGCAATTCTCTCTCTCTCTCTCTCTTCTCCTCTGCCTTCACTCTTCTTCTGTTTCAATTTGGCAGCAATGTGTAGTGTTAACTGGCTAGATAACACACACACACACACACACACACACACACACACACACACACACACACACACAC